TATTAGGTATTTGGGATGATACATGTTTTTTTTTTTTTTATTTCTCCTTGTGATGGCTTTGATCTTTGGAATCTGCCTCTGTGGATTAGTGGGGTGTCTGCTCTTTCAGTGAATACCCAGAGGCATGTGCTGAGTGGGGTCAGGGAGTTCTGTTCAGTGCTCCAGGGTGTGGGGAGTTGCCCAAGATGACACCGAAGTTGGGCTTGGTACATTGTTTTTTTTTCAATCAGAAGAGAGGTTTGTTCTGCTCTGTTGGTGTATTCTCACGCTCACCTCTTCTCCTCCAAGGAGACCAATGCCTGGGTGCTGTCCCCAGTGGGTACAGTTTTCATCCATGCTGCCATGAGAACCACACAAAGGATCCATCCAGTTCTTGATCTGAACACAGATTCTGTAGCAGTGACCCTCACAAGGAAATCATGGAGCCCAGAAAATGTGGAGCTGCCCACAGTGACTGCCTAAAGACCCAGCCACACCCTGTGCCCTTCCCTGCAGCCACAGCGTTTTCACAGTCCCAGCACACAAGGCTCCCACAGGCATGAGCACCCAGATCCCTGTCAGTTCTCCCAGCCACTCAGACATCTCCACTCAGCTGGTTGCAACTGTTACTTAGGTCCAAAATGGCCCCTGCCCTCTCTCAGCTCATTACAGGATGCTGGTGCTGGGTGGGTGGGGAGAGAGAAATGTGTCCTGTTTTTTTCTTTAGGGTCGCAGATATATTGTCCCCCACAAGGCTCCAATCCGGGCCAGGCTCTTCCCTCAGCTTCGTCGTCAGTGGTCTGGGCTGCTGCATTCTGGTCTCTCCTCACTGAGGGGCTGATGCTGAGGCTCATGGCTGCTGGGTCTACACCCTCCATCTAGGTCCACAGTGTCCCCCCAATTTGTGTGCAGTTTCCTCTGCCATTTTCTCCCTGACCCTTCCCTGTGATTGCAGTCTCTCCACATTTTTTTTTAGCTATTTTCTAGGCTAGAGCAGTAAGCTCCCTCCCTAGCCGATATCTTGGAAAATAAAAGCCAAAATTATTTTCAGTTTTGCCTTTTTTACCTGCAATCTGACATCTATTCAGGGGAGTTTTTCAACAGCTACCAGATGGTCAGTATTATTGCTCTTAGTGCTAATGGAATGTGTGCATGGGTATTAGTGTGTTCAGACAATTTTCAGTTAAAACTTCTTTTTTTAAAAAAAGAGTTATGTATTTGAGAGGCAGAAGCAATGGTGCACGCACACACACACACACACACATGGGGGGAGGGTAGGGGTGGAGAGAGAGAGAGAATCTTTGATCTGTTGTTTCATCCTCCAAATGGGTGCAACAGCCAGGACTGAGCCAGGCCAAAACCAGGAGCCAGGAGCTTCTTAAAGTGGGTGCAGGGGTCCAAGCACTTGGGCCATCTTCTGCTGCTTTCCCAGGTGTTTTAGCAGGGAGCTAGATCAGAAGTGGAGCAGGCAGGACTCAAACCAGTGTCCATATGGGATGCTGGCACAGCAGGCGGGGTCTCAACCTGCTGTGCCACAGTGCCAGCTCCTTAGTTTTAATTCCTAATACAATAAATGTGAACAGATAGACAGAGTTTCATAATACGTTTTCTGTCTCTAGGTGTTCTGGAACCAAAATGTTTGAGAACTGCTGGTTTAGCTCTTACCCTCCCAAAAAAGAATCCAGCATGTAGCCAGATGCAGTGTAAATGTGAAGATTTGAGTATTGGCAGGTATAATCTAGATGTCCGTAAGCATGGTGAAATACAAAGAATTGCATGTGCGGGAACTGCCTCTTCATGTGTATAATCCTATCAGTAACTCTTTATTAAGCTGCTACTGTGTTTCCATCCAGTAAGGGGACAATGCAAAATCCTCACTAACAGAGTTTATCATTTGGAAAGGTAAGGATCAAAGATTAAATATACTTGGAAAAATCATGATCATCTATAATCTATAGATGATTGTGTACGAAACAGTTTGGTGTTAGAGATGATTAAGGTTAACCATTGGGAGCAGCCATTATCGTCTGTTATTGCCATTCTCATCATTACCCTCCGTGGTCGTTGGCTTTATTGATGTCTTACCTCCTTACCTCTCAGAGACCTAGCACTCTACTACTTATCTCATAAACACCTAGGAGGATACTTTGTACACTCATAGAAAAATGATTGAATTTGTGGATTTGATGTAGGCTTCATTCTTTCTATGTAGGAAATGTATATTGAGCCATGCTGGAAGGGTGGGTGATAGTAGCTGGGTGGCTTTGAAAGATGACTGAGGTCTGGTCCTGAAGGAAGAGAGGGAGCTCAGGCTAGGGAACATGCTTGTGCCAAGGTACAGAACAGCCGTCATCTGGAGACCAGAATGAGCATCCTGTACTTGGCAAGCCCGTGAGCCTCCTAGTTCAATATTGTTACATAGCAGAATGGTGCAAAGAAATTCAAGGCATAATATACAAGGTTGTATTGTTTTCTTAGGCAACTAGACAGACTCTTACTGCAAAAATCAGCATTTTGTTGCTTTACGATTTCTTATGGGAACTCACTGTATCCGGATGGGTCACTCTGACCACTACTGCTGTGAATCAGTCTGTGTCATCTTCTTCTAAGAGTAATAATACTAATAATGGTGCAGTAGTAGTATTAGCTGCCCTTTAGTAGGATCAGATATTGTTCTAAATTCTTTGCTTCTTCTCATATGGTACTTTTATTTTCCTTATTTTCAGAGAAGGAAATGATGCTTGAGTGGGAAAAACTAACTCAGTTTATTTAACCAACTGTGATGGAGTCAGACTTCAAACTCAGTCAGTTTGATTTTGAGCCTGGGTTCTTACCCTTTGTGCTATGTATTTCTCCCCATGGGCAGCTTGCTCTAGTTTGATTGTTCAAAATATAGGAGCTTGAGTAGGGCATCTGAGGTAATAAGACTGCATATTGAGTTATACTAAATTTTGTCAACACTAATGAGATTTTAAAAATTAATTTAAATGCATTGGAACATATCCTCCCATACTGCATTTGTAGAAAGAAAAAAGCTAATATCCTGGGGCTGGCACTGGAGCTGGCATTGTGATGCAACAGGTTAAACCACCTCCTCCAGTGCCGGCATCCCATATAGGTGCTGGTTTGAGTCCTGGCTGCTCTACTTTTTTTTTTTTTTTTTTTTTTTTTTTTGACAGGCAGAGTTAGACAGTGAGAGAGTGAGACAGAGAGAAAGGTCTTCCTTCCATTGGTTCACCCCCCAAATGGTTGCTACGGCCGGCACGCTGTGCCGATCCGAAGCCAGGAGCCAGGTGCTTCCTCATGGTCTCCCATGTGGGTCCAAGAACTTGGGCCATCCTCCACTGCCTTCCCAGGCCACAGCAGAGAGCTGGACTGGAAGAGGGGCAACCGGGACAGAATCCGGTGCTCTAACCGGGACTAGAACCCCGTGTGCCGGCGCTGCAGGCAGAGGATTAGCCTAGTGAGCCGCAGCGCCGGCCATGGCTTCTCTACTTCTGATGTGTCCCTGCTGAGGTGTCTGGGAAGGCAGCAGAAGATGGCTCACATGCTTGAGCCTCTGCCACCCACATGGGAGACCCGGATGAAACTCCTGGCTCCTGGCTTCAGCCTAGCCCAGCCCCGGCTGTTGTGGCCGTTTGGGGACTGAACCAGCAGGTGGAAAAGCTTACTCTCTCGGTTTCTCCTTCTCTCATTAACACTGCTTTTCAAATTAAAAAAATAAATAAGCTATATAATATGAAGATTATTTCAACAAAGTTCCTTAAGCTGCTATAAAATCAGCACATTTATGGGATTTTGGAGTTTTAATATCTTTTGACATTCTGTCTCAAGCCCCTTCACTAGCATAATATTTTTTGTTAATAAGCTTATATTTCTGCAAAATGCTTTGCGCCTTCTTTTTAAAGATGCTCAGATTTGGCCAGCATTGTGGCATAGCAGGTTAAGCCTCCATCTGTGACACTGGCATCCCATTGGGCGCCGGTTCATGACCCGACTGTTCCACTTCTGATCCAACTCCCTGGTGCCTGGGAAAGCAGTGAAAGATGGCACAAGTGCTTAGGCCCCTGCACCCATATGGGAGATCTGGAAGAAGCTCTGCACTCCTGGCTTTGGCCTGGTTCAGCCCCAGCCATTATAGCCATTTTAGGGGTGAACCAGCTGATGGAAGATTTCTCTCTCTGTGTGTCTCTGTTCTCTCTGTAACTCTGCATTTCAAGTAAATAAAAAATGAAAAATTTTAATAAAAAATGTTCAGGTAAATCCAGATTATTTTCAGTGGGAACAATAGTCCTTGCACTTTTCTTACTACATGGGATGCACCAAATAAAATTTGAATTTGGCTAAGAGAGTGAAGAATATGACCTACAAGTGTGCCCTACCACATGAGAACCAGAATGACTAATGGTCGATTCTTTGAAGGGACTTCTTTCCTTTCAGAGAACTTAAATATCAATTTCTCTTTATTAAGAAAATATATTTAATTGTCAAGTGCATTACTTCTGCTATATGAGTTTAACTCATTTTCTCATATAAGCTCTTGTTTAAATTTGTGATCTAGTTACTAAGATTTGTCTTAGTATTTCATATAAAAAGTAAAAGATTGTCTTATTTAAAATTGATTTTAATTGTGTGTGTGGTAAAATTACTGAATGTTATCAGAGTTTATGGTACTATTCTCAGTACTCTTGAGTATATCTGAAAATTTTTCTTAAAAATGAGATATCATAAAAGTGGTTTTAGGAATTTGTTTCCAATAGCAGTATGTTTATAAACCATAATTACCAACAAAATCAGATTTTTCTTTCTCATGTTGGCTGGTGTGAGAAGTTTGTGCATGTTTTTCCATTTACACAAGTGCTTCCCACATATCAGAAACTAACAAACTGATATGTTCACCTTCATTTTGTGTCAGGGTGGTCATAAAATTTTATATCAACTTGTAAAGATCTGTATAAACAAGCGTGACTGTTTTTCTTTACCTCGTGGCCCATTTTTGTCCCCTGTTTCTCTTCTTGTAGAGGTATGTTGCTGTTGGAGAACTGGGGAGAGCCACTGACACCTTAGATTCTACAGGGAAAATAACAGAAGTAAAACCTTACGGTAAGAAGTTCGTTTAACATAGTCTTTCTTTTTTAACATTTAAAGAAAGCTTCTGTGAATGCAAAATTTTAAAACCAAATTCTTGCCTGACAGTATCACTGATTTTATTTCTAAGTAATTTCTTTAAGAAGACTGCAACTTGTTTATCACAGTGTTGCTTACTTGGTATGAGTTTATGAATAAAGATTTATGATTGTTTCTTTTCTTAGAATAAGTTTCTTTAATGTTAAGAATTGTTCTTTTGTAACCAATATTTAGGATATTTTCCCTAGAAAATGAGACAAAGCAGCACTAGTTAGATTTTGCCTGTTTCTTGCCATTTTTAAATTTTTTAAAGGTTTATTTATTTATTTGAAAGAGAGGGGAAGAAACAGATCATCCATCTGCTGCTTTACTCCCCAAATGGCTGAAACAGTCAGATCTGGGCCAGGCCAAAGTCAAGAGCCAAGAATTCTATCCCGGTCTCATGTGGGTAGCAGCGGCCCAAGTACTTGGGCTGTCTTTTTCTGCCTTCCTTGGTGCGTTAGCAGGGAGCTGGGTCAGGAGCAGAGCCCCTGGGACTCTGGCTGACATGGGAAGACTGCATTGCAAATGACAGCTTAACCTGCTGTGCCACAGTGCTGGCCCAGTTTTGTTTTTAAACAATTACTTTTCAGCTGTTGAAGTAAATGTGCCAGGTTTAGTTATTGCTTAAAACTCATGATGGTCTCATGCTTTTGGGGTAAAAAAAGCTGTTTCTCTGGAAGTAAAGCGGAAGTCACTGGGGCCCACCTTCATTTTTTACCATTCACTACTTTGGGAAAGGATGGAGGAATGAAATGGTCTCCTAGCAACTCTGACAGAGCTTATGCTATTTATAATGCAGCAGTTGCAGTTTTGTAAGTCAGTTCACCTGCATTATTTTGTCACCAGTTGTGAATTATTTGTAGGCTTTCTGGTTTTCCCCCATGCTTAATGTCATCTTTTGTAATTTAGCTGTAGGTAGTCGAGTTTCTGGCCTCCCTGTGTTTTCGTGTTGATTGTCATTATGTATTACACATTGCCCCAATAGTAAAACCAATCTTTTCCTTGTTAATAATAGCTTCACTTCTCCTATTAACTTCTTCTGTTTATATGTAGCTTAGTATCTTGCTTGATTAATCAAGCAACATAGTAAAAAGAAAAAGCACTGATTTATTTCAATTCCTTTAAAATACAGATGTTGAATTATCCTTGAAGTTATTATTAGTAAATAATAATGGACCCTCACTTAATTGAAACCCAAATATAACTAGAAGGCTTTTAAAATATATTTATCTGTTTATTTTATTTGAAAGACAGAGAGTCAGAAGATCTGCCATTTGCTGGTTCATTTCCCAAATGCTCCGAACAGCCAGGACTGGGCCGGGCCAAAGTCAGGAGCCTGGAACTGAGTGTGGTTCTTCCGTGTGGGAGGCAGCGACCCAAATTATTAAATCATCTCCTGCTGCTTCCCAAGGTGTGCATAGTTAGGAAAGCATAATTGGAAGGTAGGATTCAGGCCAGGCGCCCTGCTGTGTAATACAGGCATCCCAAGTATCTTCTAAAGTGCCACAGCAAACATCTTTCCTATGACCAGTATCTAATATTCCACCTCTACTTTCCCACAGTAAAATTCAGGGATCTCTCACCTGCTCACATGTATTTTTTTAAGATTTATTTATTTATTTGAAAGTCAGACTTACACAGAAAGAGAAGGAAAGGCAGAGAGAGAGAGAGAGGGAAAGGGAGGGAGGGAGGGAGAGAGGGAGAGAGGGAGGGAGGGAGGAGTGTCTTTCATCTCCTGGTTTGCTTGCCAATTGGCCACAATGGCTGGAGCTGCACCTATTCGAAGCCAGGAGCCAGGAGCTTCTTCCAGGTCTCCCACGCAGGTGCAGGGGCCCAAGGCCTTGAGCCATCTTCTACTGCTTTCCCAGGCCATAGGAGAGAGCTAGAACAGAAGTGGAGCAGCCAGGACACGAACCGGTGCCCATATGGGATGCTGGCACTGCAGGCGGCTGCTTTACCCCCTACGCCACAGTACCAGCCCCACTGACATGTATTTTTAAAACTAAAAATACTGCAGTAATGAAATATAAAAAAGATATAAAATTAATTTTTAATAAAAAGATACATTGATATTTGGATTTACAGATATTACTATACTAAAAGTCTTCATAAAATAGTCTTTTTATACTTATCCATAAATTGCTTTGAAAGCTGTTAGTAGAAATGCAGACTGCAATGTTGTATGGTATTAATGATTCATTACTTGACAATTCTAAAATGGGATAAAATAGTTCACGTTTAAATGTAGAATGGAATCAGAGTCTAGCCCTGGGTAATTATAAGCAGGCCTTTCACCTCCTTGAATATCTGCCATGCATCCAGAAGCCAGGCAGCACACAGGACGATTCCCCATTGTGTCCCCTGATTCTGCACAGAGCAGGACGTCAGCCATCCTTGGTCCCCACCCACTGAAGGCCACTGGAACTGCCACCCCACCCAGTCACTGAAACAACCCAGAATGTAGTTCTTAATTGACCCTTTGCGAGCCTCTGACACTGGATAACTAAGGCAACTTTCAGCCTGTGTCTGCTGGAGGCTCTTAGGTCATCTTGTCCTGTCTTGAAATGCTATTTTTAGCTGTTGTTCCAAACGGCTGAAGCAGCTTTGAGGAGTAAGAGAACGTGTCTCTGGCTTCGTCTCACAGTGGGGATTTGCAGGACGCTTCCCTTTGCTCTCTGTCGCGGCTCCGTGTTACTCCTGAGCAATGTTCTTCACTGTGTGCAAATGTGCGTTAGCGTCTCAGTCTCTTAAGCTAAAGGGCTGTGACCCTACCTCCCTGTGACCTGGATGGAACATGTGGCATATAGAATAGGGCAGTTAGAGTGTGAGTAGGTCAGACTGGAGCACAGGTCTTTTCAGGTGGGTCCTAGGGAAGACAGAGTCTTTGCCCCTTCTGCTCCTTTCTCGCCTGAGCCTGAGCACTGAGTGTCCAGTACCATTGGGTACTGGTCTCTGATGACAGCGGCTTTCGTGTGCTCTTCTGTTCTCCACTGAGCTTAGGACACTCAGGCTGTACCTCTCCCAGCTACATGTAGGCCAAGCTTTTGGGAAGGCCTGACTGCTCCTCTGTCCTTCCTGAGACAAGAAATGTGAAAGGGAAGAGGTTTCTCCTGTGAATTCTCTGTTCTAAACAGCACCACCTTTTAGTTTGGAGAATGCCAGGATGTCACCAAGATTTTCTCAAATGCATGAACCTGGTCTATATGCCAGGAGTGGCTCCTCTTGGACTGTGTGTGGTTTGCCTGCCATTGCTTCAGAGGCTCATCCTGGAGAGAGCTAAAGAGGTGAATTGGGTCTCAGATTGTGATTTGCATAAATTTGCAATCTTCTTATAGTGCTGGTTTTTGTGTTTGAACTTTTCTTATTATAAAGTATTTCATAAATAAAAGTCAACAGAAAATATTTGTACAGTTCAATGGGTTGTCACAGAGCAGACATCACAGAGCTACCGGTACCTTGTCAAGAAATGGCAGATTCCTAGAAATCCTTCTTCTGCCCCATCCTGGACCCTACTCTGCTCTTCTCCAAAGATAACTTAGTCTAACTTCAACCATGTCAGTTCTCACTCTGTGGTATAACTGAGTATTTTTGTAGTTAATGTAAAGATATTAAACAGTATGTGTCCTTTTGTCTGTGGATTCTCCCACTTGTATTTGTGTTCATCCATGTTGTTCCATGTATTAGTTCTTTGAATGTTTTATTACTATGTAGTGTGCCAGTGTGAATACACACATACATGCACACATGCATAAATATACATGCACACGTACTGTTCTATTGATAGACATCTGGGTTGTACCTAGTTTGGTGCTTTATGAATAAAGCTGCAAAGTATATTTTGTACCTGTCTTTTGATAGACACCTGTATTCATCTTTCTTGGGTGTATATTCAAGAAGAATTACTGGGCCATTGAGTAGGTGTATATTTAACTGTGCTGGAAATCATAAGTTTTCTGAAGCGGTTGTGTAACTTTATGTTTCCACCAGCAATGTATGAGTTCCACATGTTCCACATCTTGAGCTGCACATCAAATTAAGAGTGCTTTTCATTTTGGCCATTCTGATGAGTAGTGCAGTAGTACTTGTGGTTTTAATTTGATTACTAATGAAATTCAGCACTTTATCATGTTTTCTGACTCATTAGCCGTCTTTTGTGTTCTGACCAGGTGTCTTGCCCACTTTTATTTTTTTTCTTTCCCTATTGAGTTGCTTTTTTTTGTTGTTGATTTGTTTGATCTCTTTATGAGATGATGTGTGTGCCTCTTTGGTTGTGTGCATTGGTTGCCTTTTTTCCTCTCCTAATTGTGTCTTTGAAATATAGACAGTTTATCAAGTCTTTTCTTTTATCATTAGTACTTTTGATATCCTGTTTTGGATAACTGCCCATAGCATGAAGATATTTTCCTATATTTTAGAAGCTTTTATTTTTAAAAAGATTTATTTATTTATTTATTTGACAAGTAGGGTGTTGGGGGTGAGGATAGGGGAAGGGAGAAGAGAGAGACAGAGAGAATGAGGTCTTCCATTTGCTGGTTCACTCCCCAAATGGTTGTAATGGCTGAGGCTGGTAGAGGCTGAAGCCAGGAGCTCAGGACTCCATCTGGGTCTCCCACATGCTAGCAGGGACCCACGTATTTGGACTATCATTCACTGCTTTCCCAGGCACATTCGCAGGAATCTAAATGGAAGCAGAGCACCTGAAACTTGGATCAGCACTCTGATATGCATGCTGGCGCCACAAGCATTAGCTTAGCCTACTATACCACAACACTGGCCCCCCCCCCCTTTTTTTTTTGTCAAGAGAGAAAAGAGATGAAAGAGAGAGATAGAGAGAGAGAGGGAGAAACAGACAGACAGATTGCATGTGCAATCCTCCATTTTTTCCTACAGGGATATTCCATTTTCTTAGCATTTTCCTCCAATACTCTACGTTGCTTGCTTTGCCACAAATCAAACACCATTTAGATATAGGTTTTTTGGAATTTGTTTTGTTATATTGGTCAGTTTGTCTATCATTATGTTAGCACCAAACTGTCTTAATGGCTGTAGTTTAAGACTGAGTCATTTTTCTCCCCAGGAACCTTTTATTTAAGGTGTACAAACTTCATGCATTTCATAAATATGACTTTAGGAACATAGTGATTCTTCCCACCATAACCACCCTCCCACCTGCTCTCCCACCTTTCTTCTTTCCTCTCCTATTCTCATTCTTATTTTTTACTAAAGTCTATTTTCAATTAACTTCATAAACAGAAGATTAACTCTATACTAAGTAAAAAGTTCAGCAAATAGTATAAAAAAAAAACCCCTGTTCTTCAACAGTTTCATGATTTCTCTTTTGATTTCTTCTGTGATCCACTGCTTTCTACCATATTTTTTATTTATTCTATTGAGTTATTCATTTCAAGTATTTGGTTTTGATTTCTCTTTGAAATCTCAGTTTCATGGGAAACATTTTCATTTATGTCATGTACAGATTTCTTTAGTTCATGAATTTGGTTCTGATTACTTCTAAGTAATCCTGTGATCAATTTTTGAATTCTGTTTCTGGCCTTTCATCAGTTGATTCATCCTCACATTCTAGTATTGATGTGTTGTGTTCTTTTGGGGACATCATACCGTCTTCCTTGCTCTTGTTTCTTGAGTTGCTGCATTTATTATTAGGTATTTGTGATAATACATGTTGTTTTTTAGTTTTTCCTTGTGATGGCTTTTATCTTTGGAATCTGCCTCTGTGGATTAGTGGAGTGTCTGCTCTTTCAGTGAATACCCAGAGGCGTGTGCAGGGTGGGGTCAGGGAGCTCTGTTCAGTGCTCCAGGGTGTGGGGAGTTGCCCAAGATGATACCCAAGTTGGGCTTGGTAAATCTCTCTCTCTCTCTTTTAAATCAGATGGGAGGTTTGTTCTCATGTGTTGGTGTATTCTCACGCTCACCTCCCCTCCTCCAAGGAGACCAATGCCTGGTCCCCAACCCCAGTGGGTATAATATTCATTCATGCTGCCACAAGTACCACAAATAGGATCTGTGTAGTACTCAGTGTGAACACAGGTGCTGCAGCAATGATCCTCCCCAGGCAATTAGAGAGCCCTGAATGTGTGGAGCCACCCACAGTGACTGCCCGAAGACCCAGCCACACCCTTTGTCCTCCCACACAGCCACAGTGTTTTCACAGTCCCAGCACACAAGGCTCGCACAGTCACAAGCATCCAGTCCCTGTCAGTTCCTCCAGCCAGACTTAGGCATCTCCTCTTGGCTGGTTACTGGGCATGTGGAAACCAGGGGGGACAGCTGTTACGTATGTACAAAATGGCACCCGCCCCTTGTCAGCTAGTTACAGGATGCCAGTGCCAGGTGGTCGAGTTGACAGAAACATGGCCCCCATTTTTTTCCATCTAGGTTGGCAGGTATATTGTCCTCCACCAGGGCTCCAAGCCAGACTCATGCCATGCTCTTCCCGCAGCTTTATTGCCAGTGGCTTGGGCTGCTGCAGTCTGGCCTCACCTCTCTCTCCAAGCTGGTGCTGAGGCTCTTGGCTGCTAAGGTCTGGAGTTGTGTGTGTCCACACCCTCTACGTAGATCCACAGTGTTCCTCTAATGTACATGGAATTTCCTGTGTTGTTTTTTCCCTAACTCTTCCCTGAAATTGTACTCTCTTCACATTTTTTTTTAAAAACTATCTTCCCCTAGACTAGAGCAGTAAGCTCCCTCCCTGTTCTGCCATCTTGGTCTCTCTGAGTCTTGATATCTAGAAGCACAGCTTGCTTTCTTTCAAGAATTGTACTTTCTACCTTTTTTGTCCTTAGCTTTCTAATGAAAACAATGAAGTTGACTTCTATTTATAATTTGCTGTGTTTTGTTTTGTTTTGTTTTGAATTATGAGCAGATATTGAATTCTAGCAAATTTTTTGGAGCCTATTGATTTTTTTTCCTTATGCAAATATCAAACTAACATTTTTGGATTAAATCCAACTTGGTTGTGATAAATTGTTGTATTTGGTTTACTAATACTGAGTTGAGGACTTTTGCATCTGTGTTTGTGGGTGAAACTACTCTTTATTATTTTCTTTCTCTCAATGTCCCTGAGTGGTTTTGATACCAAGATTCTGCTGAACTCATACGTTGAGGTGGGGATATTACCAGTTTTTTCTATGCTCTGGCAGAATTTCTGTCTGGTTGACATTATTTCTTTTTCTAATGTTTGGTGGCCTTTACTGGTAGGTGCATGTTGTGAAGTTTTCCTTGGTAGAAAGATTTTTCATTGTGGATTGGTTTTCTTGGCTAGCTTTCTTTGCTGGCTTTTCTGAGGTCTCTATTGAATGTCCCAGGGGTTCAGCGGAGTTTCTTCATTCTGAGTGGTTGAAATTCAAACATCTCCCAGCCATGTAAGAGCTTTGGTAGTTATTCCTTGGTTAATTTTGTGGAAACTCACTGTATAAATGTATGACTTAGAATTTATTCAGTCTCAGGGGACTCATGAAGCTCTTTCTTTGTGTAATTTCCTTGAATTCCCGCTGCCACTGCTCTCCAAATGCTGATCTGTGCTCAGTAATTTCACTGTGCTTTGTTTGGGATTCCCCCTCTCTGCCCTGCAGTCAAGAGAGCCCCTCCAGGCGAAGGCACATGTTATAGGGCTTACCTGTGTATTTCCCTTCTGCAGGGATTATAGTTCTTGCTGCCTGTTGTCTAATATCTAAAAACAGTTGCTTAATATATTTGATCCAGCTTAATAGCTGCCTGTTGTGGTAGAACTTGTTGAGTAATGTTACTGTATTATAGTCAAGTATTGCTTTTAACTATTTCATATTGGTTTTCACTCTGTAGTTAAGTACCAATTACCATGTTGTATGTTCACTGGAAAAATCAATAAAACTTAAGCAAATAGTGATCTTAAAGATATTGCAATGAATGCCGGCACATTGATTGTTTATTAATTTACTAAACAAAGAATAATTACCCAAATCCTATGACACTTGTTTCATACCTATCTTGTTTTACTACCTATACTTTTGGCTAGCCTCTGGATATACTTGTTGTAGTGATTTTATTCTCCATGTCTTTTAAAATCCTTTGGGGATAAAGTCTTTATTCATATATCTTAGGGACAATTATTATTATTTGGATTGGAATAATACAGTGTTTCAGATATGCCAGCATTCTGCACTAGCTTCTCACGCACCACAAGCTTTGCTTTCACTGTAAAATAACTTGCTATGTAGGCTTTTTGTCTGGTGGTTCAAACATCAGATGAATGATTGGCCTAGGTGACTTCTAAATCCCCTTCAACCTTGAGATCCCATTATTCCTCAGCAAATTAGATTCAGCAAGAATGACTTGAGTGCCGTCTTAACAGTGTATGTTATAGAAGAAGAAAAACTGTCTTTGCCTTTGTGGAGCTCAGAATTCCATTGGTGAGATAATATCAACACACATACACACATACACACACATTAATTAAAAATTATATATGGTTAATTGCAGAGTGAACAATATGCATCAGTGCCTGAGATGTGAGGTCAGAGTCAACATGGCAGAAGTAGAATGAGAAAGAATACATCTTGTCATCCTGTGTGTATGTGTATTGTGTGAGGCTATGGAGCTATCAGTAAAAGTGAGCCTTGGAAGAAGGACAAAACAGCACATATTTGCAGGAATGCCAGTAAAGAGACTGGCCTAGTAAAAGTTGAAAGCTGTTTGTTCTTGTTTTTAAAATGTGGCTAAAATATGAACTATTGCATTTTTATCAGCAATGGCATTTCTTTGAGCAAGAGCCAGTGTGGTGGAAGCAATGTCTGTGTAGATTTGGAAATCTTAGACTTGCATAATTAAGGCACCACCAACGATTATAGGTTGAACTAAGCATTTTTCATGGAAAAATCCTCATCCATGTCATGAGCTACATCTGTTTGAGGAACAGTATGAACAGAAGAGCCACCCCCAGATCTGTGTTTTTGGAGCTCTGCTAGGTTTTGAAAACAGTCTTGTGTTTTATAGCTTTTCTCTGATTGGGTTTAATAGGTTCTAGTCTTTTCTTTTTGTTTACTTTCTAAGGGTCACGATCACATTGAAGTTAAAATTGTCTGTGTTGACAGTGAAATCTGAGCACAGTAGTCGATACTGTCTCTTAGTAGGTATTACGGTGTTAGAACAGTAACTCAAAGCACACTAATGATTCTTTGTTTAATATTGTTCAAGTAAGATCAGACATATATATTTCAGAATAAAGAATTTAAGTAAATTCCCTAGAAAATGGTCAATGCCCTGTGATTTCTTCCCATTGACTTTGACCTAAACAACTTTCAGAATGTTTCTGATGTAGATTTTTATTATATGTGAGTGCTAATCTGTAAATATGAAAAGCCCAAATACTAAATTTCAATGTGTCCTAGTTTTGTTTTTAAAATTATAGAACAGTACTTTAATATTGCATCATTTCATTTGAAAGAGAACCAAACAGAAGTAAAAAATATAAATAAGTGACAGATATTAAAATCTTTATTCATGCAAATTTCCCAAAATCATTGTTTAAAAAATCTGTTGTAAGCATGCTAAAATCTTTGTTGTGTATATTCTTTCTTCATGTTGGCTTGTTTTCAGTGCTGACTGAGAGTATTCATTTACAAGAAGAGGGATGGACATTCAGCCTAGTGGTTATCACACTGCCTAAGCCATCACCTGTTGCCTCCCAGGGTACATATTAGCAGGATGCTGGAACTGGGAGTGAAGTCAAGACTTGAACCCAAGGCACTCAAATGCAAACATACCCACCCTGGAAGAATTTTTAAATGAATTTTTGGAGCTGTTAGTGCTATAAAAATAGCATGTATACTTCTGTGATTGTTTTGTTGTCACCTTTTTTGTTGTTCACTTTGGCAGATAAAATAACACAAGAAGATATTGAAAGCATTCTACAAAAGTTTACTGGGAACATAATGCAAGTACCCCCCCTGTAAGTTCAATTATTGAATCTGGATAAATATTTTCTTTTCCAGTGGCTAGTAACATCGCTCAAATAAATGGGCTTCCCTTTACGATATGATGAGGCAGGTTTTCATCATAACAATCAGAACATATCATCATCATAACAAATGATCAAGTAAAGATGAGCCTCATTTATTTCTCTTAAATGTTTATGTATTTTCATCTGCTTAAAAGGCTGGACCAGGCCCAAGTCAGGAGTTCAGAGCTTCATCTGGGTCTCCCATGTGTGTAGCAGGGGCCCAAGCGTCTGAGCCATCATCTGCTACTCTTCAAGCTGTGCGTTCACAGGAAGTTGGATTGGAAGCAGAGTGGCCTGGACTTGAATCAGAACCCTGATATGGGATGCAGGCATCCCAAGTAGCAGCTTAACCCTTTGCGTCACAGTGCCCACCCTGGTGAGCCCAATTTAGACAGGCTTATGGAGCTTCTTACACTCTGAAAGGTAGCAGGATGTGGTCTTCTCTGTCCTCAGCTGTTGCCACAGTCCGACATCTGTGCAAACCCATAGTGCATTAGCTTTTCTGATTCTGTTTATAGACATCAGGACAGTTCTGGAGCTCAGAGATGCCACTTTTCCTAGAATTGCTATGACAGGACCAGTCCAGTCTGATAAAGGGATCGGAGTTTGATTTACAGACCAATGTGCCCTGCCTTTCAAGCAATTCTGGCTGAGAATTTTTTGTTTTGCTATTCTCAGCAGCAAATGAAACAGATGAGAGTTGTAACTTACTAAAAATATAATTGTGGGGCAGGTGCTGTGGTGCAGTAGGTTAATCTTCTGCCTGTGGCGCCAGCATCCCATATGGGTGCTGGTGCTAGTCCCAGCTACTCTTCTTCTGATCCAGCTCTCTGCTATGGCCTGGGAAAGCAGTGGAAGATCACCCAAGACCTTGGGGGGCCCTGCACCCTTGTGGGAGACCCAGAAGAAGCTCCTGGCTCTTGGCTTTGGATTGGCCCAGCTGCAGCCATTGTAGCCATTTGGGGAGTGAACCAGTAGATGGAAGACCTTTCTTTCTGTCTCTCCCTTTCACTGTCTAACTCTACCTCTCAAATAAATAAATTAAAAATATATATATATGTGTATATATAGATACATACATATATATTATATATAAATATATATAAAATTGTATTTCTTTACCACTTGCTTTATTTTGTTTGGGCTGCTATAACAAAACACCGTAAATGGGTTGACTTATGAGCAACAGCAATTTATTTCTCACAATTCTGGAGGCTGAGTCCAAGATCAGGACTGGCAGATCTGGTGTCTGGTGAGGGCCCACTGCCTATTAGAGGTACCCATGTGGTGGAAGGGAGAAAGGTGAAAAAGCCCCCTTAGTCCTCATAGATTCCTTTCCTGAGGGCTCTTCCAATGACCTGATCACCCCCCAAAGAAAAAGATTTAATTGAAAGAGTTACAGAGAGAGGTAGAGACAGAGAGAGAGGTCTTCCATCTGCTGGTTCACTGCCAGATGGCCACAATGGCCGGAGCTGTGCCAGTCCGAAGCCAGAAGCCAGGAGCCAGGAGCCTCTTCTGGGTCTCCCATGCAGGTACAGGGGCCAAAGGACTTGGGCCATCTTCCACTGCTTTCCCAGGCCGTAGCAGAGAGCTAGATCAGAAGAGGAGCAGCTGAGACTAGAACGGGTGCCCGTATGAGATGCCAGCACTTCAGACCAGGGCTTTAACCCACTGTGCCACAGCATCAGCTCCTGCACCACATGAATTTTGACGGAGATACCAACATGCAGACCCTGGCACCACTTTGCCATATTTTTGTGCACATTCTTATTTCAAGCAGATTGCTTGTTTTTAACAAATAGCTGAATGGCAACAGAATGTGTCAGGATTAGTTACTGAAAATTCTTTGGGAAATTACTTTCTATTTTAAAATCTTGATTTTTTACAAAAACATTGAAATATCAATGAGGAAATATATCATTGATGTCAAATGTAAAGATTTAAAATTTTTAGCAAGGCCTGCATAAACATATATTAGATCATTTAAAAAAATAAGCCTGTTTGGAGCTGTCACTGTGGCATAGTGGGTTAAGCTGCCACCTACAGTGCTGGCATCCCATATGGGCAGCAATTCAAGTCCTGGCTGCTCTACTTCCATCCAGCTCACTGCTTATGTGCCTAGGGAAGCAGCGGAAGATGGCTCAAGTGCTTGGGCTCCTGTACCCACGTAGGAGACCTGGATAAAGCTCCTGGCTCCTGGCTTCAGTCTGGCCCAGCCCTGGCCGTTGTGGCCATCTGAGAAGTGAACCAGCAGATGGAAGACTTCTCACTCTCTGCCTCTGCTTTTTCCTTTCTGTAACTCTACCTTTCAAATAAATAAACATTAAAAAATAAAATAAACTTATTCATAAGAACGGTTTTAGGATTATCTTTTTCTGTGATCCTCTCAAGGATTTTGTGATCTAATAAATTTTTTTCACATAAAGCTAAGATGTGTTAAGTAGATTATTTACTTACTAGCTTTTAAGAAGCATTATGATCATTTTATAGAAAAATTATTATTGTAAAATTAAATTGTTTCAAAAAATTACAGCAGAGGTTATTATGACCAGAAGATAGTGAGTTCCTTGTGTGCTTAACACAGAATGAGAATTAGTGAAGGCAAGATATAAATAGACAATCTCCAGGAAGGTTAAAATTGACAGCATTGCTCACTGAGTGCAAGAATGAGCTTGTATTAGCTTCCAGGATGTTTAGGAATTCTGTGCCTCTCTACATCATGGAATTGATTGGAAGAGAAACTAGTTCATTCTTAGAAGGAGTTTCCACTAAAGGGCTGCTTGTCATTCTTTCCATGCCGTAATCTGGAATTATTATTTCTCAATCTCTCGATTCTACCTTTCTCTTTTCCCCTTTTTCTCACTCTCTTACAAGCTATTCTGCATTAAAGAAAGATGGACAAAGACTTTCAACTTTGATGAAGAGAGGTGAAGTAGTAGAAGCAAAGCCTGCCAGGCCAGTTACTGTGTACAGCATCTCCCTTCAAAAATTCCAGCCACCATTTTTCACATTAGGTAAGATGGAGAAGTTTGAAATCGTTTGTCTTCCTATGTAATAGCCTTGGTTTTATTTTGGCTACTTTTGTGTGATTTCTGTGCATACTTAGGTTATTGGAGATTTTTTAAGAATTTGAATTTAAGGAAGGTTTGGGTTTGATAATGCACTTAATGAGATATCTACAGCTGTCTAGAGGTTCAGAAATGCCTTTTTAACTAGGCTGATTTTGTCATATTATGTTATCTTCCTATAAAGTTGGAAGTCACATGCTTAGATCTCTGTTGAGAAGAATAGGTAAGGAACACATATTTTCAAGGTTTTATATTTTATCTTAAAGATGCTTTTCCTCCTGTTTTGCTAGTACTTGGTATATTAGTTTTAGAATTAACATTAATTGGCACAGCTGCAGTGCTATAGTGGGCTAAGCCCCCGCCTGTGGCGTCAGTATCCCATATGGGTGCTGTTGCTAGTCCTGGCTGCTCCTCTTCTGATCCAGTTTTCTTTTTATGGCCTGGGAAAGTAGTAGAAGATGGCCCGAGTGCTTGGACCCCTGTACCTGCATAGGAGATCCAGAAAAGTCTCCTGGCTCCTGACTTCAGATTAGCCCAGCTCTGACAGTTGTGGCCAATTGAAGAGTGAACCAACAGATAGAAGACCTTTCTCTCTTTCTCTCCCTCTCTCTGTAACTGTACATCTCAGATAATTAAGATCTTTTTAAAAATTGACATTAATTTGTCCTTTGAAAACAAAACATTTTTAGTTTTTGGACAATAAATTCTTAAGACTGGACCATTCTTTGTCATCTGCAAGTTACTACTAAAGGTCTTGAAAATATGGAAAACTTGGGGTAAGGCAGAAATGTATTCTTAGACTCATGATCACATTTTTAAAAAAATTTATTTGACAGATAGAGTTAGACAATGAGAGAGAAAAACAGAGAGAAAGGTCTTCCTTCCGTTGGTTCACCCCCAAATGGCTAGTACGGCCGGCGAGCTGCGCCGATCCAAAGCCAGGAGCCAGGTGCTTCCTCTTGGTTTCCCATGTGGGTGCAGGGGCCCAAGCACTTGGGCCATCCTCCACTGCCTTCCCGGGCCACAGCAGAGAGCTGGACTGGAAGAGGAGCAACTGGGACTAGAACATGACGCCGACACCTCATGGTCACATTTAACTTATCAATTTGAATTCGTAATCCACATTTTTTTTTTTTTTTTTTTTGACAGGCAGAGTGGACAGTGAGAGAGAGAGACAGAGAGAAAGGTCTTCCTTTTGCCGTTGGTTCACCCTCCAATGGCTGCCGCGGCGGCGTGCTGCAGCCGCGCACCGCACTGATCCGATGGCAGGAGCCAGGTACTTATCCTGGTCTCCCATGGGGTGCAGGGTCCAAGCACTTGGGCCATCCTCCACTGCACTCCCGGGCCCCAGCAGAGGGCTGGCCTGGAAGAAGGGCAACCGGGACAGAATCCGGCACCCCAACCGGGACTAGAACCTGGTGTGCCAGCGCCGCAAGGTGGAGTCTTAGCCTAGTGAGCCGCGGCGCTGGCCATGTAATCCACATTTGAAATAAATTTAAGAACCTCCAAATTTGCTCTGTTGTTTGTAATGTTTTGGTCCTGCTGACTGCAGAAGGTTGTAGCTGAAGCCTGGAACATTTGCAGTTGTGAAGACTCAAAAATTGTATTTCTTCTTAACGCTGAGAAACCTTAATTTGATCCTCTTTTTTTTTTTATTATTTTTATTTATTTGAAAGGCAGAGTTACAGAGAGGCAGAGGAGAGAGAGAGAGAGAGAGAGAGAGAGAGAGAGAGAGAATGAGAGAGAGAGAATGAGAGAGAATCTTCCATTGTTCCATTGCTAGTTCACTCTGCATATGGCCACAACAGCCAGAGCTGAGCCAATCCAGAGCCAGGAGCTTCCTCCAGGTCTCCCACATGGGTGCAGGAGCCTAAGGACTTGGGCCATCTTCTACTGCTTTCCCAGGCCATAGCAGAGAGCTGGTTTGATCCTCCTAATTTCATGGTACATACTGAATAGAACACCCTTTAAAGATAATTTCCCTTGGGGCTGGCACTGTGGCACAGTAGGTTAAATTGCCTTCTGTGATGCTGGCATCCCATATGAGTGCTGGTTCCAGTCCTGGACACTCCACTTCCAATCGAGCTCCCTGCTAATGGTCTGGGAAAACAGCGGAAGATGGTCCAAGTGTTTGGACCCCTCAAACCCACATGGGAGACCCAGATGGAGTTCCTGGCTCTTGGCTCCTGGCTTCAGCCTGGCCCAGCCCTAGCCATTGCAGCCATTTGGAGAGTAAACCAGTGGGTAGAAACTCTGTCTCTGTCTCTCCCTGTGTCTCCCTGCTTTTCAAATAATAAATAAGTAAAAAATATTTTTAAAAAAGAAATAATTTTCCCAAACCTTTTTTTCCTAAGGTTTCTTGTTTTCCCCTCATTGGCATGATTTTTCAATGAATATTAAGTTCCTGCAGAATATGGTTTGTTTTTTTTTTTTTTTTTTTGACAGGCAGAGTGGACAGTGAGAGAGAGAGACAGAGAGAAAGGTCTTCCTTTGCCGTTGGTTCACCCTCCAATGGCCGCCGCGGCCGGCGCGCTGCGGCCGGCGCACCGCGCTGATCCGATGGCAGGAGCCAGGAGCCAGGTGCTTTTCCTGGTCTCCCATGGGGTGCAGGGCCCAAGCACCTGGGCCATCCTCCACTGCACTCCCTGGCCACAGCAGAGGGCTGGCCTGGAAGAGGGGCAACCGGGACAGAATCCGGCGCCCCGACCGGGACTAGAACCTGGTGTGCCGGCGCCGCTAGGCGGAGGATTTGCCTATTGAGCCGCGGCGCCGGCCCCAGAATATGGTTTTATGCAATTAAGAAATGCTTAAGTTTCCTGATTCTGTTTGACAGATAATGAAAAAAAAAAAGCACACTGAGAAATGCTTTTCTCCTTTGAGTGAACGTGTAGGAGCTGGTTTGGCAGAACAGATATTATCTATGAAACTAAGAAAAACTTGAATATTTTCATTGCATCTAAGTCATTTTTTGTCTAGAGAGCATAAAAGGACCAGCAGAGCTCTCTTTTCCTCAAGTACAATGAAAAAATGTTAGCATATCTACATTGGATGCCAGTGCTCATTTATTGTCTTATCAGTGGCCCCTAACTTAAGCTGATAAAAAAAGAAAGAGTTGAAATTCCCAGGTGGTGAATTTTGATTAATTCACCCTGATGGCTTTATTTGTACAATAAGACTGGAGAGAGCTCTAATGTGAGACGTCCTTTTGTGAGGAAAAGCAGAGCATTTTTCAGAATGTCTTGTTGATGAATACAAATAATGTAGAGCTTTCTCTTGACCAATGCACGTGTGTTGTACTGTGGTAAAACACTGAGATAGCTAGAAATCTCAGCTTTGCTATCATGAGCTGTAGATTTTTAAGATATTTTTATTTGTACTTTTTAAGTTATTTATTTGTAATTTTAGTTCATAAATTTTTCAGACATATTTCCAAGAGAACATTTAAATAAGTTGAACTCTCAGTGTATTGTTTAGTGCCCCAAACATAGGATTCTTGTCACTATGGAAAGAGGTTTTTGGTTGGTTTATTGGTTATAGTTTTTGAATATACATATCTGAAAATATTTTCAAAATCTACAGCTTTTGATAGCAAAGCTGAGATTTCTAACTATTTAAAAGCTATTAAATGAACAAGGCTGAAGTATTAACGTGGTATGACTTGCCAGTTAATTTAAAATGTGTTCATGAGTTTCTGCTGTTTGCTTTCGGCATACTCTGACTTTTCAATCTCACAAACACATATGCTACGGCATGAATAATTTATGTTTCAGCACATAAATATTTTATCACTCGATTGTTTGCATAGTGCATTTTTACATTTGTTTAGGGGCATCATTTCTATGTAAAGTGGCTTTCATAGGAGGTTAGCAATTTACCATGTCACTGTTAACATTCCAGATGTTGAATGTGGAGGAGGTTTTTATGTCAGAAGCTTGGTCAGTGACATTGGCAAAGGTAAGCATAAAAATGAATTATGAATTATAATTTAGAGAGTAATACTCCTTTTTGATGGAAAGAGAATTTTTCTAGTTTCCACGTTTTTGAGTACTGGCCTTAGGAACTGAACTCTTGCTGCCTTCGACTTTGGAAGCATTGTAGGTTGATGGCATGCAGTTATTTGTCTTGGCATCTGCAGTGCAGTGCTTAATAATGGGAAAGAAGAAAGGCACAGAAAATGAAGACAGGAATAGTGTGCATATGGGCGCACATTTTGTCAAGTATAAAACATTTTAACCCAATGTAGGGATCAGAAAGAAAAAAGATTTGCCTCTCTGAAAGTTTCTTTCTTTAAAATAAACTACATTTTTTAAAACTGCAAGCCATGGTCTGGCAAGCAGCTGAGAAGTTGTGGTTCTGGCACTGCCATTACAGGCCCCTGTGACACGAACAAGTCCTATTTTCTCACGTGCAAAGTGAGGGTAATATTTTCCATGTGGTGGCTTCATGAGTTAAATGAGAAAAGTGTCTGCAAGTTCTTTGTAGACTTTCAGTGGTTTACAAGGTTGTTACTGAATATTATTTTGCTAATTAATCATTTGTTTATCTCAAAGCTGTTGGTTCTTACAATTTTACTTTTGGGGGTAATTTTGAGAGGTTTGAATTGAATTCTTCTGTCATTTGAAAAAATTATAAATCATGAAAAACTTAATCATTTATCTTCTGGATTTCTTTAAACCTTTTGTTGCTATAGAACTCTCTTCCTGTGCCAACGTACTAGAGCTGACCCGAACCAAACAGGGCCCATTCACACTGGAAGAGCACGCCCTTGCCGAAGACAGGTGGACCATTGATGACATTGCGCAGTCCCTTGAGCATTGCTCATCTCTTCTCCCGGCAGAGCTGACCCTTAAAAAAACAAAACCTGAGGAGTCTAGTGAACAGGTTTTGAGCTGTAAATCTGTAACTTTAAATGAGACCACAGGAAATGATGAGATAATTAAAACATTTTGACACTGGCCCGAGCGTATCATGGTTTCTCAGTCGACATTTGAATTCTGCGTGCACATGCAGCGTGACAGGCTGCCTGCAGGAGACAGCCAACTCTTCTCAACTCTTTTTCACATGAACAACATGTCCTTCATTCACAGTGTCCGTAGCATGTATTTCGTTTGTGACAGATTATGAATTGCCTTGCAGTTGTTCAGTTCTCCACTGTACTATGGAATATTCTTTTTGGGGTGTTCTTAAGTTGTTAAACTATGAATGTGATTGGATTCAAGAAAACTTTCTGAATTTGATCTTTCTTGAGTCTTTTCTTATAAAAAGTTGAACAGGTTTCCTAATCAAGGAAAAAAGACATGAACCAATGTTTCTTGAGTTTCACAGTATGGTTTTGTTATTTTATTTAGGCTTTCTGGTACTCCATTGTGTTGCAGTTCTCTAACTGTGTTTAGAATAGCCATTACTGCAATCTGTCTTATGTCTTGGAGCATTGTCTATCATTAAAAACGTTTCCTTGATGAAGCTGCATCCATTTAGTCCTAGAGATGTTGGTTTAGATCTTGGAAACAACCTGTTATAATAAGTATTTGTAAATGAACCAGATTTTTGCTGTTACCACTAACTATATATAAATAGAAGACTAATATTTAATTAAATTCACCTCTAGCAGTAGAGCAGACAGCTCCTGTAGTTTGTATTTGGGGAGCTGTGAGATATATTTTCCTAGTCATTTCATCAACATTTGATCACTTTGTACCATATTACTAAATAACATAATTAAAAAAATTTAAAGACTGTATCTTCAATGAACAAATTCTTTTTCCATTCTTTAGCATTTATTTATATCTCGTTATTGGGTATTAACCCCTGTGACATTTAGACACACTGGGAAAGCTGCCCTACATCTGCAGCTAATCTCTTCTGCTCTAAATATTTTAAAAAACACATATTCTCAAACATTTTCCTTCAATAGCTTTCTAAAAGGTCTTATCTCTCTTTACCATAACTTTGAAATGCATGCAATCACATTACAGAGTGGTAAATTTCATGTATAGGTGAGTGCTTTGTATTTTTGTTGTTGGAAAGCAGTGTATTATGTGGCCAGTCTACAGAAACATCCTAATCTCTCTTCATTTACTCAAATGTAGTTTCAATAGGAAGACTTAGCAAGCATTTCATAAAATAAAAGTTTTTAGATTTTTATGGATTGATTTTCTTTTTAAAGGTGATTGGTTGCTTGCAACCTCAAACACAAACATTTTAAATTTGCAAACTGAGGTGATTTTATTTGTGGTTAACCTAAAATAAACTCAATATAAGAATTTATATCCTTTAGTAGAACATTTTTAGCATGTTGGCAACGTACCTTGAGTGACAGTATTGAAACTAATTCTGAGACAGAAAAGGAAACCAGAATTGACATCATGATGTATTAACATAAAATACCAAATACACAAAGTTATAAGTTTAAAGTTTACAATTTTACTTATTCACTTCTTTTTTAGAAAGTATTTATTTTTGTTTTTTATTTTAAAGGCAGAGAAAGAAACAGAGACAGAGAGAAATAGTGGAATCCTAGCCACTGGTTCACTTCCCAAATGCTGTAATAGCCAGGGCTGGGCCAAGGTTGGGCCAGGGTTGGGCCAGGGTTGGGCCAGGGCAGGGCCAGGGCAGGAACTCAGGTCAGGTCTCCCATGTAGGTGGGCAGGGGCCCAACTACTTGAGCCATCACCTGCTGCTTTCCAGAGTGCTCACTGGCAGAAACGCTGAAGTCGGGAGTGGAGTCAGGATTCGAACTCAGGCAATCCAAAATGAGATGGTGACGTCCCAACCAATGTCTTATACACTGCCAAACGCCTGCCCGTACTAGTTCATTTCTGGTGACCTGCAGTGGAAGTGGCTGCTGCCTTTTGGAATGGCACAGGTTACAGCACTCTTTCCCAGTTTAAGTCTACAGAGAAGAATATTTAGTTTTAATAACACAGGTGAAAGTGCTGTTGTATTTCTCAGCTTTAAAACTGACATGTGGGGACCAGTGTTATGGTACAGTGGGTAAAGCCAGCGCCTGTGGTACCAGCATCCCAGATGGGCGCTGGTTCAAGTCTCGGCTGCTCCACTTCTGATCCAGCTCCCTGCTAATGCACTTGGGAAAGCAGCAGAAGATGGTCCAAGTGCCTGGGCCCCTGCACCAGCATTGGGGGACCTGGAAGAAGCTCCTGGCTTCTAGCTATTGCAGCCATTTGGGGAGTAAACCAGCAGATGGAAGGTCTCTCTGTGTCTGCTTCTCTCTCCTTGTAACTCTGCATTTCAAATAAATAAGTCAATCTTTTTTTAAAAAATTGACATGTATACTTTACTAATGGAGATGAGTTGAAATTATTTCCAAAGTAAATGATAGCCAGACCTTTTCTTTTATATTGAAAGCATTGAAGAAAGTGTTTTTCAAATGGAAGTTACCCAGTCCCCACCATCCTAATGCAGTAATTTCAGAATTTTAATTTTTGTATTGCTTTTTGCTCTGTTTTTGTTTTCATAACTGCGCTTTTAAAGCATCTGTGCTTTCTAATGGGCTAGTTTTAATTTGATATCACCTATTTTGAAAGCATTTCTTATTGCTAAATATTTAAGTTGTTTTCAGTTTTATTAGGATAAATTCCTAGGAAATGAGATTGATATAATATGAATAGTTTTATGGTTTATGTTTTCCTTACTGCATTCCCCAAAGTTGTAATATTTTACAGTGTCACCTTTTGCGTGGGGGTTTTATATGTTGTTGCTAATTTGCTAAGTATAAGAGAGAGATCAAATTTGCTCTTATTTGCTTTTGTGTGATTTATCTGTGTACTTTGTTCATTTATATAAATAAATGTCTTAATGGTTTCTTTATACATGTACATGAGTTGTTTACGCAGCAAATGATGGAAGTATTTCTGATGGCCAGCTGTATTTTTAGTTTTTGTCTTCATTTTTACTAACTAAATTTGCCAATTTTAATTATTCTGCCCCTTTTATCATTGTCAAATTTATAAATATGAATAGTTAAATTTTACTGAAACCTTACAAACACTCCTGTCTCTGACAAGCAGCTGAAAATAAGAGAGATGCTCTGAGAGGGTCAAGATTTACCCATAAAGCAAATTGATTTTCTCTAAGAGTCTTGTATTTAAATACTATTTTTTGCATCTTAATTAAGATATTAAAGAACTATGTGTACCCTATCTGTTTTAGGCCTAAAGCTTTATGACACACTAATATTGTTTTCCTTATAAATAAAAAGTAAACTGTTGGCTGGCGCCTCGGCTCAATGGGCTAATCCTCCGCCTGCGGCACTGCCACCCCAGGTTCTAGTCCCAGTCGGGGCGCCGGATTCTGTCCCGGTTGCCCCTCTTCCAGGCCAGCTCTCTGCTGTGGCCAGGGAGTGCAGTAGAAGAGCCCTGTACCCACACAGGAGACGTGCTTGGGCCCTGCACCCCATGGGAGACCAGGAGAAGCACCTGGCTCTTGCCTTAGGATCAGCGCGGTGCGCCGGCCACAGTGCACCAGCCACGGTGGCCACTGGAGGGTGAACCAACTGCAAAGGAAGACCTTTCTCTCTGTCTCTCTCTCTCACTATCCACTCTGCCTGTCCAAAAAAAAAAAAAAAAAACCTTGAGTTTGTTTATATTCTGAAAAATATTTTTGTCTTAAAGTTGTCAGAAGTGGCTATAGAAGGGTTTATTTATACACTGAAAGCTCATGAGCACTAAAACAATAGAAATTTGCTCTCCATGAATTCAAAATTATGAAAAGTGAACAAGAGCTGGGGGGCCGGTGCTGTAGCTCACTTGGCTAATCCTCCAGCTGCGGCGCTGGCATCCCATATGGGCGCCGGGTTCTAGTCCCGGTTGCTCCTCTTCCAGTCCAGCTCTCTGCTGTGGCCTGGGAGGACAGTGGAAGATGGCCCAAATGCTTGGGCCCCTGCACCCGCATGGGAGACCAGGAAGAAGCACCTGGCTCCTGGCTTTGGATCGGTGCAGCACCGTCCGTGGCGGCCATTTGGGGAGTGAACCAACAGAAGGAAAACCTCTCTCTCTCTCTCTCTCTCTCTCTCTCTCACTGTCTATAACTCTACCTGTCCAAAAAAAAAAAAAGTGAACAAGAGCTAAACTCACACTTCCCTATACTGACTACATCTTTTCTTCTTAAGTACTGGAATTAATAACAACTATTGTCTCATCAGCAGAAATGAGTCATTGTATAAGAAAAAAAATGCTTTATATCAGGTCTTCAGTACATTTTATGCCCCTCTGACCAATCTGAAATTTGTGTCAGGCTTACAGTGGGCATTTCGAGTTTCTATTAGATGGAAAATTGTTCTGTTTCAGAGGGAAAAAGTAATTTCCATTAAATCTAGATGTATATAATAGCAAAAAAATACTCAGAAGCACTCTGAACTGTTGAAACATTTAAGTAGTGGAAGATAATAGCTAGGAAGTGTATTCATTGAAAAGATTATAATGGCATTGTAGTTAAAATTTAAATAGAAAGATTGTCTTGAAACTCTTTCTTTAAGGTATGTGTGAGCAGCTCTGGCCTTCCTTGATTGTTCATTAAATACCATTTGTTAAACACCTATTGCATGGCACTTGAATCAGTAAGGGCTGCACTTGTCTACTTGTGAGTTCAATCCGAGGTATAGGAATATCTTCAGATTGCTGTTACGAATGACAATCCAGTAGGAAACTTGAAGTTTATTTAGTTTGTTCTACTTACCTGTAACCCTTAAAATACAACATATTCATATTATTTCTGCCCTTCCCATTCAATAGCTTTTTGATTCTTGGCAAATCATAATCTTTTTGAGCCTCAGTTTTCTCATCTTCAAAACAGAGGAGATAGATTATATGTAAGAACCTCTCCAACACTAAAATATTAGGTTTCCAAGTTTAGATATTTATTCTGCTCAAGAACTCATTCCGCATGAACCTGAATTATTGTATTATTAACAGATTCTGGAAAATCCCCATCCTTTTTTCTTTGACTACTGCCTCTCTTCTGTCGGGAGTCCTATATGTCTTGTCTTCTCCTTTTGTTCTTTTTGTCTAATTACTTTTTCATGTTTTTATCTCTTTATCCTGTGGTGCTATATCCCAGGGAATTCCCTTGAATCTTTTTCCCCCGCAGGTAATGAATTCCTTCTGCTGTTTTTATTAACTTTTTAGTAATCATAATATTTATTTATGGCCATTGTGTTTTGTTTTATTTCTAGAGCATCAACTTTTTTTTATCTAAAGTCTGCCTCTTTTTCTGTGTGTTATTCTTTCATTAAGATGTTACCAAATATATATCTACTTTTCATTGATTTTTAATGTACATACAGGATATGATATGTACACTTATAATTGCATACTTGATGAATTTTCACAAACCAAATGTGTGTAACCAGCAACCTAATTAAGAAGTAGACCATTACTAGCCCCCAAAACCCAATAGAAACTCTCTTCTGGTCACCAGCTACCCATTTCCAGCCCCACTGCCAGGAGTAACTGCCTGTACCATTATACATGATAAATTGTGTCTGTTTTGTGCTTTATATAAATGGAGGACACAGTATATTACTGTTTTATGTCCAGCTTCTTTTGCTCGAAGTTGTGTTTGTGTGGTTCTTCCGTGTTGTGGCTATCTTAGTTCTCCTGGGTCCTTGGAACAAAATGCCATGGGCTGGGAGGCTTAAACAGTAGACGTTTATTTCTCAGAGTTCTGGAGGCTGAGAAGTCCAAGATGAGCCGGCAGCATGGTCAGGTTCAAGGTGAGGGCTCTCTCCCTGGTGCGCAGATGGCTACCTTCTCCCTGCGACCTGTGATGAAGAGAGGAAGCTCTGGTGTGTGCCTTCTTCAGGAGCACTGATCTTTTTGTGGGGGCTCAAACATTATGACCTAAAGACCCCACCTCCTAAACTGTGACATTCTCACATGAATTTTCCAGGGACATAAGCATTTAGCTTGTGAGAGTTGGTGTCCATTCTCATTGTTGTTCAATGTTACCACTGTTTGTCCATTTTACTGCTTGATGGGCACTTGCATTGCTTTCTGTTTTGCCTATTTTGAATAATGACTCTGAGCAATCTAGGACTTGTCTCCTGCTCACATCTGCACACAATCTGTTGGAGAATGCTAGTAGTGGAATGTAGGTCACGGAGTATATGTTGTGCAGTCGGCCTGCCTACTCGCACGTGAACTGTTATTATAAAAATGCTGAATCCATCTTTTAAGAAAGGGTATTATTATTGCAGGCCTGCAAAGAGGTGGGACAAATATCAAAACCCAAATCAATCTTTCTGTTCAGAAAGGGGTTTGGTGGAGTTCGGGTAAATGGGGCGTAACTGGGTGAAATTAAGTGACAAAAAATGATAGGTGCAGAGGAAAGGGGTGGGGAAAGTTCTTGGGGCATATGCCTTAAGAAATCATTACTGTACACACATTGCATGTTCAAAGAAGGCTGCTGAAGTGGCACAGGAGGTGTGTCATTAACATAAATTATAAAGATAACTGGTCAGGCCGTCTGATCTGTACAAGCTCCAGTTACAATGTTGTCTGTAGCCGTTCTGTCCTGCTTTATCAGGAACCTTGGGAAAAAAGCAAATTAGCAGATTTTTAACAAGACAGTTATTATGGGGTAGCAAATTCCTATGCAGTAGGCAGGCAGCTTACTATTCTGGGCTGTTAGTATGATAGGCAGCTAAGGGAAGCTAATTGCTAAGGAGGGTCTTTGATGGCCATGGTTTGTTATACACCTGTGTAAAGCTTTAGTAGATATTGGAAGCAGTTTTTAACACTACTGTAACAGCAGTGTGTGAGAATTCTGTGTGTTCCATGCCCTCATCAGCACTAAATATTTTCTATTTTCATTGAGGTGTTCATTACCTAAATGTGATTTTAATAAACTTTTTTATGAGTTGTTAGGATTTGGATTTCCTTTAAATGCTTTTTAGTCTTATTGTCTATTTAGTGTAATAATCTCGGTTTAGTTACGTGAAATTCTTAGGAAGTATGTGCTGATGCTGGCTGAATCTCTTGATTCTCAGCCAAGGTGGATTGTGTCCTTTGTGTTACAGATTAGGACTATGGGTTAACACGCTGAGTATTTGGGGGAATCTGTGCCCTTGGGTGGAGAGTGTCCTTGCAAAGAGGTTTGCGGATTATTTCTTCTAGGCACAGATACAGCACACTGTTCCAGACTGTTCCAGACTGTTCCAGACTGTTCCAGGCTGTTCCAGACTGTTCGTCATACAGGATTGAAGATGTTCCCGGTGTTGTTGCACTGCATTTTGTTTCATTTACAGCTTAAGCCAGAGTAGAAAAAGCTGCCTTGGTTTTGGCCTGTTTGTGGTACGTTGCTTTCTCTCTAGCATTTTACTAAATACGTGTTACTTTGAGGATGCCAGTTTTATTCTGTATTTGGGGATGTTGCAGTTCTAAAGCCCCCTCTCAAGACCCAAGCTTTCATCTCTGTCCCCATTTAGAATCCAAAACCTTGTTTACAGACAGGAGTAAACTACCTGGATTACTGTAGCATCAACAAATGTGTTTACCATGCTGGTTTTCAGATTACTCTATTCTGGAGTCCTGGTAACATTTATTTTGAATTCACTTACTTAATGGAATGTTTTAAAGGTCACGTTCTCTCTCTCTCTCTCTGTCACACACACACACACAAGTTCACAGTTTTTAAATGTATGGTTCCATGAGTTTTAATGAGTATACATAGTTTTGTAACAATCATCATCATCACAATGAATAGAGCATTTCCATTGTCCGCGGATTCCCTGTTGCCCTTTTGTAAACAGTTTTCTTCCCTCACTTCCGGTCCCTGGCAGCTATTAATCGGATTTCTGTCCCTATACTATT